TTTTGATGAAACTTGGCACATGGATGCTCTGATCTAATGCGCAGATTTCATTAGTTTTGGGTAAAAATCTGTTTATATTAATTACCTAATTTGCATAATGATTAATCAATTTTCGGCTTTTCCACTGATATCTCAAGTACTAATCATAACATTTCAATAAAACTTGGTACATAGATGTCATATGAGACTGCACAGACTTGATAGTTTTTAGGGTAATATCAGTACATATTAATTACCTAATTTGCATAATTAATTAATTTTCAGCTATTGATATTTCAAGTAGTAATGAACACATTTCAATGAAACATGGTACATAGTTACTTGAGGACTGTGCAGAGACCTAATTAGTTTTTGGAGAAATATTTGTGCATATTAATCACCTTATTAGCATAATTAGTTAATTTTCAGCCCTTCACCTGATGTCTCAAGTACTAATCATCACATTTCAATGAGACTTGCGACATAGATCTTCTAGGACTATGCAGAGACCTGATTAATTTTAGGATAAATTATTGTGCATATTAACTACTAATTTGCTTAATTAGTTAATTTGTCCTAAGAACCACTCATTGAATTTTAATGAAACTTTTAAAGAGTACTCATCACATTTCAAAGAACCTACATGTGTAGGACTATACACCATATTAGTTTTGGTAAATATTTATGCTTCTTAATCACCTAATTAACATAATTAATTAATTAATACTGATATCTCAAGTATTGATCATCACATTTCAATAAAACTTGGTACATAAATGCTCTAGGACAATAGACAGCCTGATTAATTTTGGGTTAAAATCTGTTCATATTAATTCTCTTAATTAGCACAATAATTAATAATTTGTTGGTTCTAATCACATTTCAATGAAACTTGGTACATTGTGCAGACCTTATTAGTTTTACACTTAAATCTGTTCATATTAGTTACCTTATTTGCATAATTAGTTTTCTGCATTTCCAATAAATAGCTCAAGTTAAAGTAATTTTGAATTAATTTTGAATGTGTCTCCAATACTCTCAGCACACGGGAGTTCTTTCTAAGCTTTCTTTGATTGTCATTCAATTCAATATGACCGGACAATGCCCAATTTTCATGTAAAAGTGCTAAATCATAGTTTTTACATGTCCAGAGCTGTTTCTCCGAGATGACTAGGCCAATTTGGATCAAAGTTGGTATGATGATCATACATATTGGGTTATAGTTGCATGTCATATTTTTTCTGTGATTCAAACTAATATGGCTGACTGGTGGCCATTTTGTTTCTCATGATACCCATGCCTACTTTCCCATGAATGCAATGAGCATTCCTGTTTAAATTTTGTACAAAGACAGTATACCAATAGATACATGAACATCATTTTTGACTTCCGTGTGCAAAGCACAAAAGGGAGTCTTTGCAGCTACCCTGTCTGTATGTATGTATGTCTGTATGAATGTATGTCACTTTTTTTGTTCCACTGTTATCTCAAGAACCACTAATCAAATGTTGATGAAACTTGGTACACAGATGCTTTGGGATAATGCGCAGAGTTGATTAGGTTTTGGTAAAAATCCATGAATATTAATTACCTAATTTGCATAATAATTAGCTGATTTTTATATGTTCCATGACTGTTCCGCTGATATCTGAAGAACCACTCATTGGATTTTGATGAAACTTGGCACATGGATGGTCTGAACTAATGCGCAGATTCATGTATGTAAATGTGACGAAATGAGCGTAGTGCGAGTGGTTAGTGCTAGTAGCACTAATCCGAAAAAGTACTACATCTAGTGCTAAAATGGCACTAGATCTAGTGCTAAAATGTGCACAGTGTGAGTGGCATTGTTATCGTATTGTCAACGACGTCGAATAATAGGAGGGGCATCAACAACCACTTTCATATGCAAAGTACAAACAGTGTAAAACATCGGCAATATGCGCGAGATGTCCATAATAATACTTTCTTTATATAATACCGGATTCTGTCATAAATTCGCCCATCCGAAAAATCGCCCTGGCGATTTCACGGCTGATGGGCGCTTATTTGGGGTTTACAATTTAAAAAAATAATTATTAAATATTTTGGGGGGACATTTTCATTGTATCCAACTACACAGACTTTCTACGCCGTCAGTTGGGCCACCCAAGACGAAAGAAACTATTGCAGAATTGACAATAATTAATTATTCTTGCTGAATTAAAAAGTAGACCACCTGTAATGTCATTACAGTGTCGCCCAGTGTCATTTTTCAAATATATTTGTTTTTATTTTATTGGTAACAAATGTATATTTTAAACGACGTTTCTAATAAAAACGCGCACAACTGCATTGCATAGCAGCAATCGATCCCGGCAAGCGATCACAGATGCTCAATCCGGACATACTACGTTTCACAAACATTGATTATTACTCAGTAGTGATTATAATAACGCACAAAAAATAAATTCGTTGATTGTTATAAAATTCAAATAAAATTCAACTTAGTTTCCTCGTAAGCAAATGGTTCCGATCGCATATAAACGCTCGATGCGGTAGGGTATCCGCCATGTTTCTCTTGCATGAGTTGAGCTAATCGCTAATTAACCAATCAAAATGCTGGATGATGCCAACGCGTTCAAATCACCATAGCTCATTTAAATATGTTAATGTTGAATGCAACGCGGAAGAGATTTGCCGATGTTGTAGTACGCTCATTTGGCTTGGATTTTGATGGGAACATGGCATGATTTTTTTTAAATAACAAAATAGTTGTTTTCAAAGATGAACTTAGCATAAGAAGAATAATTTAACATTGTTTACAGTGATAACAGCTCTCTGTCCAAACGGAGCTCATGCTAGTCACAATAAACACGCTCTTGAATTTAGGTGTCAGGAACGATTGAAATGTCCGATAAATTAGGACAAAATATTTTTAAAAAAATTAAAAACTGCCGAAAAATCGCCCTGGACGATTTCTTGGTCCCATTTTTTTTAACGCGACCATACACTGGGTTTGTTTAGCTGTGAAGGGTTAAAATACGTATTTCACAACCGGAAATTCAACAGACGAACTTGTTACTGCATATGTTTTAATTAGTAGCAACTGTAACAAGAACAAGATTTCGAGAGTCTACAACAAAAAATCCTAAGGGCTCCTAAAAAATATTATTGCAGAGAAAGTGTCTAGACATATATAGTATGGTCACGTTAAAAAATCGCCGAGGTTACATCATATTCCGTTAGTTCCTCCATGATACAATGTAACAACAGGATTGCGTGACAATATATGCCCATTCACAGGTCGCAGTACACACAAAATCCACCGAGCTTTACAGGGACCCGGGACTTAGACTAGGAGTATACCGATTTTTTTATTTAGTTGACATATGGCATCATAATTTCATTTTCGAAGATCTATTTTCATTAAGTGTGGCGCCGACCAGAAATAAAACGGCACATCAGCGATTTAAAAAAAATGAACGCTGAATTCCACCATTTACATAAAGTTTCCATTCGCCAAAGTTGAAAACACAAACTTCCCCACATTACAATTTCATACAGTATATCTATTCACAATTTGTAAAAATTGCGAAGTTCGACCTGCAGTTTCACTGTTTCAGCTAGTTTCCCGGCCGATCGCGTTGTTCCAAAAGTCTATTACGACAAACGTGGACAATGACATTCTCAATTTTCCCACTGAAGCAAATTTCCAATAAATGAAAGATACAACAATTTTACGTAAATATTCATTTATGTTCAGAAAATTACGGGATGTCTTGACGCCGTTGACAACGCGATATCAATGCCACTCGCACTATGTACATTTTAGCACTAGATCAAGTACCGTTTTAGCACTAGATCTAGTGTCATTTTAGCACTAGATCTAGTAGTTTTTCGGATTAGTGCTTCTAGCACTAACCACTCGCACTATGTCCATTTCGACACATTTACATACCTCGCAGATTTGATTAGTTTTGGGTAAAAATCCATGAATATTAATTACCTAATTTGCATGATAATTAACTGATTTTAAGCTGTTCTTCGTGACTGTTCCACTGATATTTGAAAAACCACTCATTGGATTTTAATGAAACTTGGTACATAGATGCTCTGAACATATGCACAGATTTGATTAGTTTTGGGTAAAAATTTGTTTATATTAATTACCTAATTTGCATAATGATTAATCAATTTTCGGCTTTTCCACTGACTAGTACCAATCATAACATTTCAATAAAACTTGGTACATAGATGTCATATGACAATTCACAAACCTGATAGTTTTTAGGGTAATATCTGTTCATATTAATTCTCTAATTAGCATAATAATTAATAATTTCTTTGGTTCTAATCACATTTCAATCAAACTTTTTGTATACATAGATATTACATTACGCAGATCTTACTACTTTTACATTGTGCAGACCTTAAAATCTTTTCATGTTAGTTACCTTATTTCCATAAGCTTTTCCATCAATATCTCAAGTTCAAGTAATTTTGAATTAATTTTGAATGTGTCTCCAATACTCTCAGCACACAGGAGTTCTTTCTAAGCTTTCTTTGATTGTAATTTGATTCAATATGACTGGCAAATGCTCAATTCTAGTGTAAAAGCACTAAATCATCATTTTTTACAAGTCCATCTCCTATTATTAGTTTCATCAGCATCAAATTGATATGTCGGATCACAAGATTTTGGACGGGGACTCTGTCATTAACAATGATTTGTTAATTTACAGAGTACTGTCAAAGACAATGCTAAGTCGTGTAGTGAATATTTTAATCTGCTATGTAGATTGCTCGACTATGCTTGTAAGGCAAACACACCATTTCCCAACTCTGAAGCACTTCTTAATAATGAAATTGAGTGGCTCAAAAAAGTCAGGGTAAGTATAATTATGCTAATTTTTGCTTAATTTTGATAATTTATTTGTGGTATTATCACTGATAACACCAAATTGACTGAGAACAGAGTCTGTTCTTCAATGGATCATCCTAGGGAGCTACCATCAGACCCAACTTTGTTGACAAAATTGTACTGTTAGCTATGGATTTGACCACCGATTGTAAAATCAATTCTATGCTTAAAATCACAGAGAGGCAGGCAGTATCTCCATTGATAAGGGCTTGTTTTATTACTTTCGTGTTCTACCCTTATTTAAGTGGGACAAACCTGCAATGTGCCATCCTCGCCAGATGGCTAGTGAAATTTACAATATACACACTTAAGGCGATGCGGTTGTTAGCACTTTTTAGCTCAACTGTCGACTTTGTCGAGCGGAGCTTATCATATGTGTGATCATCCGTGTCAATGTTTTACTTTTTCGACTTCTTCTTGAAAACTACAAGCCTGAATGCTTTGATACTTGGTGTATATGTACCTTAGATTTGTTCATTTCATGATGAATATCTTCAATTCTCTAATTTTGATGAATATTTTTTTTATTTTCGACTTGTTTATTTTCGACTTTACTTGTTAAAAAAGGCAAGTCCAATTGCTTTGATATTACATATATGTGTACTACATGTGGACCTCTCTCAGATTTGTTCATATTGTAATGATATCTTTAATTTAATTTTAGTGAATATTTTTTTAATTTTTGGTAAAAAATGATATTTTTGACCTCTTTTTGAAAACGGCAAGTCTGATTGCTTTTATATTACATATATAGGTACTACAAGTGGACCTTTTTCAGATTCGTTAATTTTGTGGTGATATCTTCAATTAACTAATTTTGATGATTATTTTTGGTGAAAAGTGATATTTTTGAATTCTTGTTAAAAACAGCAAGTCTTGTTGCTTTGATACTCTCCATATTGTTCATTTTCTAATGATATCTTCTGTTCTTTAATTGAAATGTGCATTGCTAACAGCGGAGCTATCTCAGCCGACAGACTGCTTGTTTAATAAATTCTGTTTATACTAAATTAGGGTTATTTTAAACATATTCGAATGAATGCCAACACAGGTTTGTTCATGACATGCTAAGTTCTATTGTTTTTTGTGTTAGATATAGAAATACAATGTCACATTTATACCTACAGAATATAGCATTTCCTTTCTGTTTTGCTTACTATTTTATGACGAGGACTTTTGAATGTCAATGTCTTGTTAGATTAAATTCTGTTAGGCATATTGAAGTACATATATTGTTACTGTTTCTACAGGATAGCGTTGTAACTACTGGTGAAAGTCACTGTGAGGATGCTTTGCTTGAAGGTCACCTTGGTGTAACCAGGGAACTATTACAATTCCAAAATGCAGATAAAAAATATTACATGGGTTCGAAGAAAGGAGGTCAAGACTTAATCAAGGTCAGTGTCATAGTTGTGTGTCTCAATTTAACTGCCAATTTGTTTAAAGTTGAATTTACCTGCTTACTTAATTAACTGACCAGAAGTGTTATTAAGAGTCTTGTCAAAGTGATAGCTAGCACATTCGTTTGTATATGTCATAAAAAGTTAACATTTATTGACTGAAGGTCATGCCAAGATGTCAGTTTTAAGTACCTTGTAATTCATTATGTACCTTATATTTGCAGGAATTAGTTGATGATTTCCTTTTTCCAGCATCTAAGATGGTATTACAATCTAGGAAAACTGGTGAATTACCACCTGAACAAGCTCATCCTGTCTGTATTAGCTCACTCACTATCAATGCTGCTTTTGATCTTCTTGTTTCGTTGTGTAAAGGCTGTGTACAAAACCTTAAAGTGCTGGCTGAGATGCTCACAGAAATGTATTACTCAGGTAACATATAACATGTTCATTGTAATTTATTGACTGGTCATATAGTTACGTTATCTAACTTTTTGGAATGGAATGTGATTTTTTTTTACTCCCGTGTGAGAAGCACAAAAAGGGAGTCTTTGCAGTTAGTGTGTGTGTGTGTGTGTGTGTGTGTGGGTGTGTGTGTGTGTGTGTGTGTGTGTGTGTGTGTGTGTGTGTGTGTGTCCGACTGTTCCACTGCTATCTCAAGAACCATACATCGGTTTTTGATGAAACTTGGTGCATAGATGCTCTGGGCCAATGCGCAGATTTGATTAGGTTTTGGTAAAAATCCATGCTCGTTAATTACCTAATTTGCATGATAATTAGCTAATTTTTAGCTGTTTTATGACTGTTCCACTGATATCTAAAGAACCACTCATTGGATTTTGATGAAACTTGGTACATAGATGCTCTGAACATATGCGCAGATTTGATTAATTTTTGGTAAAAATCCGTGCATATTAATTACCTAATTTGCATGAA